TATATAGAGTGATCACTTGCTGGGAATGAATACCACCCCAGCTGTATCTGTACTACCACTACCACTACCACTATCATTACTTTTATGTTTGCTGTTAGTACTTTCCTCCTTTCCATCAGCCATTATGTCCGTCAACGCCGCTGATCCCACTGCCCATCCACAACAAGGTAATGTGGATGCAGATACCTCCTCTCAATATCTTGCGATGCTAAAGGTGGAGGATCTTCAGCAAATGCTTCATGAGAAGCGACAGCCATTCCATCATCTCCGCACCAAAGAGGAACTTATCCAAGCATTGGTGCAACTCGAGCGGGAGGAGGAACTCGCATTGAAAGTGCAGGCAACTGCCGCCCAACGGCCTACACAACATGTACTCCGTGTGTTGTACTGCTCCGGATGAGGATACCGGCGGCACTACGAGGAGATGGTAAGACATCTCTCACGTAGTCTGCCGCCATCTCTTATCCAGCAGCAACCACAACAACAACAACAACAAAAACGAAAACAAAGAAAAGAAGCCACAACAAAAGAAGAAGAAGAAGAAGAAGAGAAAGAACAGCAAAAACCAATCCTTGTATTTGAGGATTCTGTGTATCCCGTAGGTCCACTACGTCAGTTCATCGCATCCCTCTGCTCCGTTGGTTTTATCACTGCCCTCGCGCTTGGAATTGCGGCACCGTACTTTAGTTCAGTGCTTCCACCTGCCGTGATGGCGTGGGTGACGGACCATCGTGGGATGATTATTGCCGGGGGATTTCTGTTGAATATGATCGGGGCGAATCTTCTCCAGTCCGGTGCGTTTGAGGTGTATCTTGACGATACACTCATTTACTCAAAGTTGCAGAGGGGTGCCGTGCCGCCAGCAGATGCACTTGCACGGATTATTCTTGAAAAGATTGCAGCAGAGAATTAGGTATGGTGATTACATTGAATAAGAAAAATATGAAGGGAAAAAAAATGGTGGAGAGGGGGTAAAAAAAGAAAAAAAAAGAAACGCCTTGTTAGAAGAACGAAAAGAAGAAATGAAGATATACAAACCCGATATTATAACGAGAAAAAAAAGATATAATCAACACACACATTACACGCACATGTTGTACATGTACATGTATACATACATAGGAATGGTCTCCGAACCAACTTGCAGGAAGTAGGAATGTTGCGCACGTAAAGAAAACAAAAAAAAAAATGTGCATGTATGTGTATTTGTGCGTGTTTCTCGTGTTTTCTTAGCTCACTCAAATATGATGCTTGTTCCTTGCTTTTTCTTCTTCGGCGTTCTAGCTGTTATACCTGTGTATGTTTACAATATACAGTTTATATCTGTGTCGTGCTGTTACTCTTTTTTTTTTTTATGATGAAGTGAAGGATTAAACCCTATTTGTGGTGCCTCACTTTTGAACATATTTTTATTTGAACGTCATCATCATTATTATCACCTACTGCTGCTGTTTGTGATTATTGATGGTGATGCATAAAAGAGTATATAGCAACACAGTGGGAAAAAGCCAAAGAAACAAGGCATCCCCTTCCTTGAAAGGGAGAGGGGGTGAAATTGTGTTTATGTTTAGCTATGAGAAAAAGAAGGGGGGAAAAAGAAAGAAATGTGATGGGTACGCTCGAGCCTCTGTAGGAGGAAGTTGTGGACGATGCGAAAAGAAATTATAACAGAGAGAGAGGGAGAAGGAAATGGCGAAGAATTAGCAGTAGAGAAAGTAATTTTTTCAAAGAAAAAAAGGCACTAAAACCTCCTTATTTCGCTATAAGAATCCTCAAACTCAGTCACTCAGCAGTGTTAAATCTATTCTGGAGGGTGCTCACTCCTTTGTTTCTTCTTTTCGTACCGTTATTACTTCAATTTGATTGGTTTCTTTAAAGTATTTGGCGGGGTATATGTTTTCTTCACCATTCTCTCTTCTTTTTCCATCCCTTTTAACTCTTATATTCTCTGTTTCGCTGTTTTCTTCTATTGAACATCATTTCTACCTCAGAACATCTTTCTTTTTTCCTTTTTTTTTTTNTTGTTCTTGTTTTCTTAGCACTGCAGAAGGTCCTATGCACTTCTGCCTTGATTGTTTAAATACAATAGGCTTTCTTCGTTCTAGCGTTGCTCAATTTTTTTCCCTGTATTGTTCTCTTCTTCAATCTCTCCAAATCTGTCGGTGAACTGTTTTCTTGGGAAAATATCTCTGTTTTTATCTGTGTGACATCTTTTGTTTTTTGAGTGGTTTCTTTTTCTTCACTTATTTCTGCTAAACGGGTATTACAACGGGTAGAAGTAAATAATTTAAAAAAAGGATTGATACCGCTCTCCAGAGCACCTGTGGGCTGGCAAGATCAATTGTACAATTATATTTATTCTTCTTTATCCACGACATTATTTGTGTAAATGAGTAAACCAAACGTGGCGGACACGGAAAGTGGCGAAAAGCCAAGGGTCTCAAAAGGCAATAACACGAACAAATTGCCAAAAACAGAAAAGGCAGAGGTGTCGTCCACGACATCAGCAGCAACTTCAGGTGGAACTGTGTACTTTTGGGGATTACTTCCATTCCCCACCAGGATGTTGAACTATGTTCACTTCTCCATTTTCATGGCCCTTACTTTATTAAGCATATGGAAGGCGTACAGCATCCGACTAATTTCCGTCCAAATCTATGGTAAAGTCATTCATGAATTCGACCCATGGTTTAACTACCGCGCTACAGAGTACCTCAACGAGCACGGCTGGCGTGCCTTCTTTGAGTGGTATGACTATATGAGTTGGTACCCACTCGGACGTCCCGTCGGTACCACTATCTATCCTGGTTTGCAGATCACTAGTGTGGTCATTCACTATGTATTAAACGCTATTGGTATACCTATGTCGTTGAATGATGTTTGTGTTTATGTGCCAGCATGGTTTGGCTCGGTGGCAACAGCCATTGTCGCACTTCTCTCGTATGAAACCTCGGGTTCACTTGCGGCAACCGGTCTGGCGGCCGCTCTGTTTGCTATTTCCCCTGCCCATCTGATGCGATCCATGGCTGGCGAATACGATAATGAGTGTATTGCCCTGGCAGCCATGGTGTTGACATTTTACATGTGGGTTCGCTCACTTCGTACTGAGAAATCATGGCCTATTGGGGTGCTCACAGGACTCGCATACGGCTATATGGTTTCTACCTGGGGTGGTTACATCTTTGTGCTCAACATGGTAGCGCTTCATGCTGCAGTGTGCGTATTAGTGGACTGGATGCGTGGTGTGTATGACACCAATTTGCTCAAGGCGTACTCTCTCTTCTTCGTTGTGGGAACAGCTATTGCAACGCGTGTTCCACCGGTGGGATGGACGCCATTCCGGTCCCTAGAGCAGCTGATGGCACTACTGGTGTTTGTCTTTATGTGGGCACTACACTTCTCTGAGATTGTGCGGCTCCGCGCTGGTGTTTCCATCCGCTCTGCCAAATCTCTGCAGATTCGTGCACGGGCATTCATGGTAACACTTGGTGCTCTTGTACTCATCGCTTTACTCCTGGCACCGCAGGGATACTTTGGTCCTCTATCCTCACGTGTTCGTGCACTCTTTGTGCAGCACACACGTACAGGTAATCCTCTCGTTGATTCTGTTGCAGAGCATCGGCCGACGAGTGCAGATTCTTACTGGAATTTTCTCCATATTTGTTATCCATTGTGGTTTTTGGGTATTATTCTGATAGTTGTATTTCCAGAGAGCCCAATGCGACGTGCCTCTTCGTTCTTTGTGTGCTATTCTTTTACAGCGTTATATTTCAGTGGCAGAATGTCGCGTCTGCTGCTTTTGGCAGGACCTGTGGCAACGGTATGTGCTGCTGTGCCTATTGGTTTTATGCTGAACTTTGCATTGCGACAGCTGTTCTGGGAAGGGGGAGAATCAACGGCAACGGCAACGGCAACAACTGACTCTGCTCGTACCCGAGGTTCAAAGACATCCAAGAAAAGTAAAAGGGGACAGAGTGATGAGAACGTGGAGTCCATTGTGCAGGTGGAAATTGAACGTCGTCTCAATGCCATGCCTCGTACCATTCGTATCAGCTTGAGTGTACTTATTTTTGTCACACTCTTGTTTAATCCAGCAATCAGTTCCTATTCGACGGTGGCTGAGCGCATGGCCTACGGAATGTCAAACCCACGAATTATGTTTTATGCAAAGTCCTCGCGGGGCGAAACTGTCTTGATAGATGATTATTATGCTTCCTACATGTGGCTACGAAATAACACACCGGCGGATGCCCGTGTGCTTGCCTGGTGGGACTACGGCTATCAGATCACGGGTATCGGTAACCGCACCAGTCTCGCCGATGGCAACACATGGAACCATGAGCATATTGCCACAATTGGAAAGTTGCTTACCTCCCCAGTGAAGGAGTCACACACTCTCATCCGACACCTTGCTGATTATGTTCTTATCTGGGCTGGGCAGCGCGGAGACGATCTGATGAAGTCCCCACACATGGCACGCATTGGAAACAGTGTGTATCGTGATATCTGTCCTGTGGATGACCCTCTGTGTTCTAATTTCGGTTTCTATGACAGTGATTTTAACCGTCCGACACCAATGATGCAAAAATCACTGCTCTACAATCTGCACGGGCATGGGAGTGTGCCTGGTGTATATGTTGATGAAAAATTATTCCAACTTGTTCACGTTTCACGCTACGGTCTTGTAAAGATCTACAAAGTGATGAACGTGAGCCAGGAGAGTAAGGAGTGGGTGGCGAATCCAAAGAACCGCAAGTGCAGTCCACCGGGTTCCTGGCTTTGTGCTGGACAGTACCCACCTGCGAAGGAAATCCAGGACCTGCTGGCGAAACGCATTGACTACGCCCAGCTGGAGGATTTCAACCGTGGTAAGAGAGACGATGAATACTACCGTGCCTATATGAAGCGTATCCGTGAAGAGGCGGACTAGATAGACTTTCTTTGTTGACCTATCTGGAAGAAGAGAAATACCGGTAAATTATGTTTTTTTGTGCGTGTTTGTAATGTTCCTCAGTAAGAAAAAACGTGAGTATTCTGTGGAACTTGTGAGCAATATTGAGCGGTAAGTTACTACGAAAGAACGGTCTGTGTCTATGAGGGGACAACCAAAAAAAAAAAAAAAAAACGACTTGGTATGGGTGACGTACAATAAAGACACACCAATTTTTTTTTTTTTTGATGGATATTTGTAAATCCATGATCCATTACAACTTGTTGCAAATCTAATGCGTCTTTAGAGGTGGCGTGAATAAGGAGATGTACAGGCACAGTAGGGAAAAAAAAAACGAAAAATCTGATGGATGCTTGAGAAAAAAAAGTTGACGGTAATAGGAACAAATTATATATGTTTTGGGCATATTGTATACTTGCCGTTGCCTGAACCTTTTTTTTTTTTTGTGTGTGTGTGTCCTTTCAGTTTTTTCTTGTTCTTCATTGACACTGTAAGTAAATATGCACTTTGTATCTTCACCTGTAGAACAAGACTTTTATTCATTTTTTTTGTTTTGCGTTTCTCTTTTTTTTCTTTTTTTTTTCAGGTTATAGAGGAAGGAATAGAGGTCGAATATTTTCCTCTTTTTTTTTCTTTTAGCCTTTGTTTTCTGTTTTCTGTTTTTGTTTTTAATTACACGACTCCATGTGGCGACGGTTCGGCTTGCAGCCTGTAATTCTTGGGGTTCAACATAACCCGCCATCGCGCCGTGCTATCATGCTGCGTCCTACGGCTGCAATTCTATCGAATGAAGGAAAGAGTAGAATAGTGAAACGAGAAGGGAAGGAGCGAAGGCAGGTTTCTGATACTGCTGATATGAATTTTTCTAAACATTCTAAATCATCAGTAGAATTGGAGAGCCCTGGTAAGCTTGCGGGTGAAGTAAAGATGATGAGGGAAGAGACTCAGCTCATGTCATCACAACTGCAAGAAAGAAATAGTCAGATTTTGTCTAATACTAACGATGAGCAGACTGAGACATCACAGGAAAGGGATTGGACAGAACCTTCTCTGGAAGACTTGGATCGATCCATTCCACAAGTAGACTGTGCATTCATTGCCAATCTCATTCGTTCTCGTAATGCGAGAAGGAAAGAATTTTTGCATAACAAGGCGCGTGTAAAGGCAAAAGTTGAGCAGTTAAGTAAGCAGCAGGCATCCTCTGTGTTAGAAGCAGCCAAATACCCCATCCTTGGTGGACTCAGTGGGAGTAGAATTGCCAGTAGTAGTAATAGTAATAGTAGTAGTAGTAATGGGGTTACCACAATAAGCAGTGGTGATGATGATGATGCTCCTATTGCAGTATCACCTGAAGTCCTTGCTCAATTATCAGATGAAGACCGTGATGCATTACTCTCTTCACGTCCGGAGTATGATGATGGTTTTGTACTGTTGGACTGTCGTACAGTTAACGAAGTAACCTCGTGGGGTATGATTGAAGGTGCTAAAGTTCTCCCCGCTCATGAGATGTTTGATGGTTTTCATTTAACACCAGATGAATTTGAAGTAGAGTTTGGTTTTCCAAAGCCTCGGCCTGAAGAAAAGATTATCTGTTACTGTCAATATGGACCACGGTCGCTTATGGCAGCGCAGATATTAAGTTGGATGGGTTATATGAACGTTTTACACTTTCGTGATGGTTACTATGAGTGGGGAAAGCAATACAATTTACTACTTCGACGGTGGATGGTACATGACAAGGAATCAGGTAATGAAATTCGTCGACAAGCAGCATTTCAAGCAGGACTTGAACTCCAGCGTGAAATTGCTCCAGAGTTTAATGAACTTCCTATGTCTGAGGCCGCTCGTTATAAAATAGATACAACACGAAGTCGTGGTAAGATGATTGTTGGAGAAGGTGTGCGGGAAGAGGCGTATAGTCAAATTGCGACACTTGTTTCTGGTATGCAGCCACCGTTGCTGCCTGGTGTACTTGATGATGCGGACCGTGCGGTGGGTGTGAGTGGGGCGATTGGTCGACGTGAACAACAAATGAAGAACTTTCTGCAGGAAACAACAGGAATGGATGCACACAAGGAAGATACACGACCCCCGATGGGATTGGCAGAAGTACAGGCGAAAGTTATGGACGCGTTTACGCGAAGTGATGGTGGAAGTCATGCACCACCGCGGTAATATGGATTTCTTCACATTTTAAGGGCGAATGATTTGTTTTGTTTGTTTGTTTGTTTTTTTGTGGTTGTGGTTGTTTGCTGTTGGTTCCTTGAATTTGAATTTGTGTGGATGTGTGTGACTGCACGATTCTGAAGAAGAAGAGAAAGAAGAAGTGCGTTACTTCCTGCAGTACATTTGGGATTGCGGCTTCCAGTGACAGTAATATTTCTGTATATATATTTATATTATTGTATGTTTTTTCTGTGTATGGTGTCACTATGTTCATTCTACTTTTTTTGCTCTTTTTTTTTTGATGCTTCTGATAGAAAAAAAATACAAAAGTATATTTCACTCGCTATCATTAGAAAAGGAAAAGCAATTTAATTTTAAATAGGTTTATTTCGTTTTAGGTTATTGTCATTGTCGTTTATTGCAGTTAATAAGAGCGGCAAAACAGAAAGGGTAAAGGAAAAAAAAAAAATAGCAGGTCAAAAAAAAATTTAAGGGAATTATAAAAAACAAAACAAAAAAAAACAAAAACAGAAGTAACAGCAGAAGAAGAAGTGAAAAGAAAATCGGAATAATCAAACAACATCATAACACTTCTTTCTGTTAGTATCTTCTTGCTTGTGTGCTGGTGTACTCCGTTTCGCAAGTAGATTCACGAAACCAAACACACGTAAATACATACAGAATATATATATATATATTTGTTTGTTTTTTTGTCCCTGGGACAGTACAAAAGAATAAAATCAAAAAAAAAACACTGTACAAATTGCTTGCTGTACCATCAGGAATAGACAAGTAAGAAGTACAGATAGAAACATAACAGCAAAGAGAAGTGGAAAAGTTTTAAAAAAAAAAAAAAAAAGAATAATAATAATCTTTTATTCCTGATCTGAACATGGCTGACGGTCGATCTTCTGCATCAGTTGTGGCTGTTGACCCGGAAAAGGCAGCACGTGAACGAGATGCAGCGGCCCGTGCACTTCTCCAGGATGGCCCAGTGCAATCACTTATGCAGTACATGACCAAGGGACTTGAACTTACAGTGCCATACACACTTAAAGTTGTAGTGGATGCTGATAAGTTGGGTCGCGCAAAAGAGGTGGCAGATCAAGTCCTGCTGTCCGCTTGGAGCCTTGCCGATACTGTACTAAATAACTATAATCCCAATAGTGAGGTCTCACATATTGGAAAGCTCCCAGTGGGACAACAACACACCATGTCAGCCCCTCTTAAACGTGTTTTGGCATGTTGTCAGCGTGTTTTTAACTCATCAGGTGGTAGTTTTGACCCTGCCGTTGCTCCTATTCTCGATGTGCTGCGCGCAGCTCTCAAGCCAGGCGCACCAGTACCACAAGAAGAGCTAAAGTCTCTCATGAGTGTTTGCACCATGCCAAACAGTTTCCTTATTGACATGGATGCAGGTACTATTGCACGTAAACACGATAAGGCTCGCATGGATCTCGGTGGTGTGAGTAAGGGTTACATTGTTGACTATGTGGTGGAAAAGCTTAACGCTGCAGGGTATGATAATGTCTTTTTTGAGTGGGGAGGTGACTGCCGTGCGAGTGGTACCAATGCCCGCAATACACCGTGGATGGTTGGTATTGTTCGTCCTCCATCACTTGAAGAACTAAAGAATCCCCCACAAGACCCACCTTTTATTCGTGTGATTGCCCTTGATAATGAGGCATTGGCTACAAGTGGGGACTACGAGAACTTAACAGAAGGACCACAACAACGACTCTACACTTCTATCTTTGACTGGAAAACACGTTCCCTTTTAATGCCATCACAAACTGAACTCGCTCAAGTTTCCGTTAAGTGTTACAGCGCTATGTATGCCGATGCGCTAGCCACAGCAAGTCTCATCCAACGTGACCCAGTAAAAGTGAGGTACATGCTGGACCGCTGGCGCTACGTTCGTGACACCGTAAAGGATTATACAGCTTATATTCGAGAAAACGAATGTGTTGCACGAATGTTTGAAGTTGCAACAGAAAGTGCAGAAATGCGTAAAAACCGTATTGCTGGTTCATTACCTGCTCGTGTTATTGTTGTTGGTGGAGGACTTGCTGGTCAATCTGCTGCAATTGAGGCTGCAAACTGTGGTGCTCAAGTATTCCTCATCGAAAAAGAATCCAAACTTGGTGGTAATAGTGCCAAAGCTACATCTGGTATTAATGCCTGGGGTACTCGGGCGCAAGCAAAGGCAAGTATCATGGATGGAGGAAAGTACTTTGAGCGAGACACCTTCAAGTCAGGTATAGGTGGTAACACAGATCCTAGTCTTGTTAAGGTGTTATCGGTGAAAAGTGCAGATGCCATTCGTTGGTTGACGTGTCTTGGTGTTCCATTGACAGTACT